CAGATGAAGCGAGGTTGCAGTGTTTCATGGTATCTTTTTTGAGGTTCCTCGCTCATTGATCCTCTTCATTTCTTATTTCCATTTTTTGTTTTCATCTACGAGCGACAATGACACATTATTATTTGATTGCGACCCGTATTTAAGTGATCATGTTCTTCTCTGAGATGATCTATTTAGTGACTTTGCGCAGGCGTTGCCTTACTTTATCTGTCCTGCACCTTTGCACAGGCACGTGCTCTCGTCAACGTGAGTTTCTATATATTTTATAAAGAATTATCACGACAAGTACCACTGTTCGACCGTTGATGATGTGTTGTTTTAACGATAGGCACCGGCTTCTGTCATTGAAGAAATGGGCCCGACGAGTTACTTGAATCAGGAAGTCGTAGGCTTGAAGGTTTCGCGAAGAACGTCAAATCAGTCTATCACGATCATCGTTTTTCAGCAGATTTTTTTTGTCTGTCCTTGATCTTATGAATTTTCAATAGCCGCTTTAGCTTTGATTTTGGTCCTTTATGAGAAGAGTCATGCATTTTTGAGATTCTTCGCTATTGGATGGGTGTTTGATTTACTTTTTTGAGTTTTTTGCGCTTTTTTATTTATTAACTCATACTTCCGAGACGAATCTTTGTAATGTGAGTGTTGAATTTTTGGTAATCTGGAGAATAAATCGGGTGGTAAAATATATTGATTAGTGGGTAAAAGGGCTCGGCCAAGCGCGTTGCCCGTTGACTCAACGAGTGGTGACGGCCGTATTTGATGCTTTTTGTACTGGGTCGGGAAGGGGTGGAAAATTTTAGTAAAGGTGATCGTGTTTTTAGGCGTTAAGAGGTTAGACGTGCACGGATGGGCGCAGTTGGCGGTTTGTTAGATATTTGAGGTAGAGACGAAAATATGGCATGAATGGTTTGAACTAGAGGATTTGTAGTTTCTCGGCCAAAACTAGCTCTTATCAACGTCCATCTATGTGCTGCGCAGCAAAGCGGGACGTTGTGAAGGAGAAATAGTTTTAGAGAGTGTCAAAAAAACGAGAGAGCGCTATCCAGTGAGCGGGGGGCATCAAGAGTGGATGCCTCCACACACCCTAGCTGCTACACTTCTCTGCTGCAAGTTCTCGTAGCACGGACCCCGTGGAGGGGAGTTGAAGACAGATTAGGTGGGGGGGGGGTGGTGAGCGGCAGCCACTTGACGTTGCATCACAATGCACCTTACCGGCGGCGATGAGCGCAAAATCGGAATTCTGGGTGTCCATCTTGAGCGCACAGTTGCTAAGGCATTTCTTTGAGCGGAAGTGAGTCTTTGCATTGAGCACGGCGAAACCGGCCTATAACGGGGACTATGCATCCCTTCTTTGAGATGCCGTTGTAGCTGTTCAACAATTTTGGGTTAGTGCAAAGCGATATTTATATAGTGGAAACAAGCCTAATAATAACCTTTGCGATTAGGGAATTCACAGATCTCAAGAACTCCGAATGCTGGTCGAGCAGCCCAACGGGGAGATAAAATATGATGCTCAAAATTAATTTTTGCCAAGTAAAAGCTTAGATATCAAGGTGATGCCAATATCGAAGAAAATTTACAGCAGCACGAATCTTGTTCAGCGTACGGGAGTCCCATCATACCATTTTCATATCATTAACATTACTACTTTGAAGTACGTCTCGTTTTCCCTCAAAAATTTCTGTTTCCAAAAAATCAGTTTCTGTACAATCCTAATCCCACCTCTTCTACGCCGATCCACCAAGTACAATCTTCATTCGCAAAGACAAACAGCTGCTTAGCGACGCGTTGGAGCTCACCACTGGCTAAATCTTGAAGAGTGGGCGACTCGGGGGGTTTGGCTAATTAGCTTCATGGGTATGTGATGTGCAAAAAAGTAAATCGTAGAAATCCGCAAAACTCCTTTTCCTTTTTTTGGCATCGGCCTTTTTCGCATATACTCGCATTTTTTCAGGTTCTACGATCATGTTCGGGTGCTGCTGGCGTCTACCATCCGAAACCAATCGACCCCACATGGGGCGAGTTGGCAAAGAAGGCGTTGAAGGGAAAGGATCCTGAGAGTCTGATCTGGCATACACCTGAAGGCATTCCAATCAAGCCACTGTATCTTGAAAGATGATCGCAAATGTGACGAGCACAGGAAACCAGAGGTTCTTATTCTTATTTATAAGTGCTCATTCTTAACTTTGTTCTCAAAATGGGTTGGCCTCGGACTTGAAGGACGAACAAATCCAATGACCTTTAGATAATTTGTAGTTTAGTTGCGATTTTGTTATTATTTTATGAAACTGGTTGGAAGCGAGGTTTAAGTGAAATCCTACATGGACGGGTAAGTTTTTTGACCCGAGTAATTCGACTCATTAAGAAGTGATTTTTCTACCGCCAGCTCTGAAATGAGCTGAGTTTGAAAAATCACTGCTTAATGAGTTCCAGTGGAAGCTTACTTGTCCGACTGTACCTGAATCTCGTTTTCCAATCACGAAATTCGCGAAAGATGTAGTAATAAAGTCCGATCCAGTTCATTTCGGAGCTGGGTAAATTTCAAGGTTGAAGGTTACTATCTCGCAGGCCGCAGGGGCTTCAGTCAGTATTCATAGGTCACACGTTTCTGACTGACTGTTTTCCTCTTGCCTATGAAGGGTGAGAAAAAGGTGGTACGTTACGAAAGCTGTCCACGTCTAATTTTGACCTTATCCTTATCACCTTGAATTTCCCATCACCCAGGAAAACGGGTGCTAGAGCTTAATTCGATTAAGTTAGATCGATCAGAAAAAAAACCTTTCGTCATTTCTCATCGCTCTTAAGAAATCTTATTGACAGAGGAAATGCGCTCTTTACACAACTGGGCAAGGGGGATTCCTGTAACGTTCGTTGCACTTTTGTTTTGCCGGCAACTGTGAGCGAGTCAGCTGAGCAATCCGGTGACGCTCAGATGAACTGCGAATGGAACTGCGGACGCTGCAGGGTGCTTTTTGAACAGAGCCATCAGTGGTCATACTGAACAATGAAAATAGCCAGGCTTTTCAAATTGGCCATCGATTTTTAGTGTATTCGGAAACTGGTTCCCTTTGTTAGAAGAAGCGCTAGATTATTGTTTTACAGTTGCGAAATATTACAGAATCAAAAAATATTGGATAAAAAGAACAAATAAATCACTGCTCAAAAGATAGAGCAATTATTAGGCTCTTATGGCCTTACTAGGGAAGGAATTCAGAATAGGGCATTCAAAATTGCTGGTAGGTGGCTTGCAAGAGAAAAATCCAAGCTTGTCACGTTTCTCCAGAATCCTTCCTCTTGAAGAACTTACTACCAAGTTTTGGAAGTGGTTCACTCACTTCAATGCCCATCCCCCTAACGATCAGCGCCTAAATACTATATAAAAACGGTAAAACGCTAAATTAGCCTCGAAAGGCCAGGGAAATCTCACAGATGTTATCGAAAATGGCTTGATTGTTGCTCGCTCACACATAATTTCAGTGGAAATAGTCCTATCAGCAATTCGAATCTCATTAAAACTGCACCTACATGTCACAACTGATTTTCAACGGGCTTTGACACTCAACGCTTCGAAAATAGATCGAAATTCAAATAGAGCATCATACCATTGTTCGGCACTGAGCAGAAATACATTACTTGAGATGATTTCATTTGATTATAGGCGCGATGAAGCTGTGGAAGTCGAACGTATACACCGTGGTGGAGAGATGAGCTTTTTTGCCCGTGGTTCTCCTCTCAAAAAAGTTAGCTTTAAGAAAGAAAAGCCTTCCGAGAGCGGCAAAGGATCGTGGCGATGAAAGGATTTCATAAAGGATCTGTATACCATTAGGTGGTATGAATTCCCATCTTCCACTGGATGTGGGCTATTGCGCCCGATTACGGAGCTGATGTGTAGTTGATAAGCCAGAAATGAATAGTACAAACAAAATAGCTGGAGTTTTGAAGAGCTGCGCCTATCGTATGAGCGGAGCTTGCAGTCTTCTCATTGGTCATCCCTTCCTCCACCTTGTCTTACTGTATTAAGTGGCTCTACCAGGAAAGTCGTTGAGAACGTGGAACGCTTTTCAAAACGGCTTTTGCGTTTTGACTTGTTTTCATTGGTAACTGCTGTTTTACGCCGCAGTTCGCGTTGCGAATGTTTCACAAGAATGCTGGGTTGTGAACAAAACTTTCGCCCCAGCCGGGACTTCGTACCCGGATCTCTTGCTTTCCGGGCAATTGTGCTAATTGCTAATTTCCCGGAAAAACTGTGTAACTGGTAGCACAATTGCCGGGAAAGCAAGAGATCAGGGTTCGAATCCCGGCTGGGGCAAATGTTTCGCCCACAACTCAGCATTCTTGTGTCTTTTGCTTGTTGTAAGGGCACGTGTGTGGAGCATGGTACTGATGATGATTTTTTTTTCTGAGCGGTCTTGAGATTGTCAGAAAAAGGCCGGGAAAAGGAAATCAGATAAATGTAAATGTAAGTGATAAATGTAATGTATGTTTGTCTTTGGTGGGGATCGAACCAGCGGCTTTTTTTTTCTCAAATATTTTTGAAATTACCGGAGCGCTCAAGAAAAATGGACCCTCAGTTTGGTGATGTACGCTCGTGCCTTTGCAACATGTAAAAAATCGTTCAAAAATCCGCTCCTCTTCCTGAAATAACCTATACCTATGCAGTCACGGAATGTGCTTTTGAAAACTTCCCAGTACATCACCTTTCAGGGGCAAACTTTCAAGTTTGTGCCTTCCGATACATTCCCCTTAAGGTAAGTTGAACTCTACCCACGTGGGTTAATCCTTGTCGGGAGCGTCACCCTTCGTCCAAGCCATCGTTTGGGAGTTTCTAAATTATCGAGTTCATGTCATGAGATTGATCTTCTCAAAAACGCCCTCCAAAAATCGGCTGTGAATCCGCTTCTACTTTTGATGTGCACAATTGACTTGAGTAGACATCAGTGAAATGCTCCTGCTTTCAGCTTCCTGGCCAATATCCGTTCACTCGTGGACCTTATCCAACGATGTACACTCATCGACCATGGACCATTCGTCAGTATGCAGGGTTCTCGACCGTCGAGGAGTCAAATGCCTTTTATAAGGAGAACATCAAGGCCGGCCAACAAGGACTCTCGGTAGCTTTCGACCTGGCTACCCATAGAGGGTCAGTTTCTACTTCATCATTGCAGTTGGTTAAAAAACCGAGATATTGCGCCACTGAATTTTTATTAATGGCTGATTTTCAGATATGACTCAGATAACCCGCGTGTGTACGGTGACGTCGGTATGGCTGGAGTAGCTGTGGATTCTGTCGAAGACATGAAAAGGGTGCTTACTTGAGAATTTTTCAGCATAGAAAAAAGGATTTTTCTGGGCTGTGGGCTAAAAAAATATGGATTTTTCTGGGCTGTGATAGAATGAAACCCTCCGATATTTCGCGTTTCGAAGACATTCACTGACAAGGATGAGAGTATCCTATGACTATGAATGGCAGCTGTTATTCAGACTGGCCATGGTTACATGTTGAGCTGCAGAAGAGTCGCGTTCAGAGTTTAATGCGTTGCCAGAAATGTTTATTCTTCGAGTATGCCCTCCTTAGAAAGCACCAAAATGTTCCAAAGTATACACTCTCATGTCTCCGTTTTGATTCATTTGATGCTATCTGATGCCAGGAAAGTTGCCGGTGCTGGCATTGCGACATGCCTAGTCAAGGGGACGGACTTAATGTATAAATAAAGGATAAAGGATAAAGCATTTGCCGTTGATCAATCCCTTTTTGGGATGCGGCACGCATTCTACTTCCATTTGTACATTCGCAGTGGCGTTTGAATGCGATGTGGCCTATACAATGACTTGCGGGGGCCAGCCGATGTTCAAGTCAGTGTTTTTTATCCTCCCAGACAAGTCTGGTACCAATTAACCGACCCCGGAGGGATGGAAGGCTTGGTTGGCCCGGGCGACTCACGACCCAGGATTTGATCCCCGGACCGCTCGCGTGGTAAGCGCGCCACTTGTCACTACACCACTTCCGCCCCAAATTATATTGTTAATGTATATTACGAACATTTGGATATCCTGACAATTTTGGGCCTCGTTAAGTCATCTTCGGGAACAGATGGAGACTCATTCACAACCAACAAAAATACGATCAGAACAGGCGATCTCCCCGTCCCCTGCGTATGAATTAGCAGGGGTGCTGGAGTAGTCGCTGATGTGGAATGAAAGGCCACGTCTGTCGTTTCAATTACCAGATTCATTTTGACGCTTCCACTGTTATGTTTCGGCCGTTTCTTTGGTATTCCTATGATGAACTTGATCATTTGAGGGGCGCATTTCCCATATAACAGTTTCTACGAAGCCATTTGCGTGACTGCTATTTCAAGGAAAGAACGTGCGCTGAGTGTGTGAGGGGACAATCTAGCACCGCCAGCATAATCCGCGAATGATTGAGCTTGCCATGCTTTACTTGCCTCAGGTGTTATCTATACGTAGACCTAGGAGGTTGGCGGTCCCAGATAATTCCACCCAAGTTGCCTCTGCTTCAAAGGTTAGGCGGTTTCAGACTTTGCGACTGACGTAGCGAATCGCGCGATTCTCCAGCGATTGATCGCAGAGTCTGACACCTGCATTGCACTGTCTCTCTTTCTCTGTTGAGCCTTCGTGTTTTTCTTTTTTAAAATACAAAGTGTTGCTGAAAAATCGTGTTCGAAGACTTTATTTTCAGGGTGTCGATCGTAAGAAATTGACCGGTACCATTCAAAATGATATTTTGAAAGAGTTCATGGTACGTAACACCTACATCTATCCGCCAGAGCCATCGATGAGAATTATTGGTCAGCAACAAATTTTTGGAAATAAACATCGGAATCGATCGATACGTATCTTTGTTACAGGAGACATCTTTGCTTACACAAGTAAAGAAATGCCCAAATGGAACAGCATCTCCATTTCTGGATACCATATGCAGGTGAGCATTAGTGGAGCACTGATGATGATAGAGAGCTCGGCTCTCATCCACTAAGGGAGGGAGGGGGGGGGGGGAACATTGCGTTACAGCGCCTTTCGTCTTTTAACATCGACCAATCTTTGTTATCAAAATTCTAGCACCAAACCTAAGGGAAAAGAGAGAGACTCGCGGTTCGTTAGGCGTTCTCATTTTCCTTAGAATTCCTCCCTCCCGTAGTCCTCCAAAAACAGCCTTTGCCATTCACAGTACGAAAATAGGTTAAGCACGCAAAAAAGACGAAGAAACGTTATAGCAATGAGGTCGTTAACAGTTCTAACCCTAAAGGACTCCTCGAGTCAAACTGGCTAGATCTGGCTGTGTACTACAGTGCGTCCCCGCCTCACTATATCAGACCTTGGAACGAATTTCTAACTGGCAGTACCGTTTGAACTTTTCCTTCCAGCTTGGCCTCTTTCCAAATCATCCTTTTGCCTGAAGTTGAATTAAAAATAAAGGATAAAGCATTTGCCGTTGATCAATCCCTTTTTGGGATGCGGCACGCATTCTACTTCCATTTGTACATTCGTAGTGGCGTTTGAATGCGATGTGGCCTATACAATGACTTGCGGGGGCCAGCCGATGTACAAGTCAGTGTTTTTATCCTCCCAGACAAGTCTGGTACCAATTAACCGACCCCGGAGGGATGGAAGGCTTGGTTGGCCCGGACGAAGCGTATTAGAGTTTGAATCTTACCATATTTAAAGCTCTAATACAGTCAAACTTGGATAGACAGGTTTTCCTATCCAAATCTTTGACTTCAGTGCTTTTTGTGCTCTACTCCTTTCACTCCAATTTGCACACAATTTTTTCAGGAGTTTTTTTTTGTTGGGAATATTTCACTGGAATTAGTAGGACACTACTTGAGCAAACCACAAATACAAACACACTTACACAGTAATGTTATAGGAAGCAGGTGCTGACGCAGTCTTGGAGATGGCTTTCACAATCGCTGATGGCATCCAGTACTGCGAAACGGGAATCAACGCAGGTCTCACCATCGATGAGTTCGCTCCTCGTCTTAGCTTCTTCTGGGGCATTGGAATGAACTTCTACATGGTGCGTAAGATCTCTTGACACCTTTCTGCCTTTGAACGTTACGTTCTCCTGTGGTTACAGCTTCATTACTATTTCTTGTGTAATTGATAACGTCAATTAAGGAAATAGCCAAAATGGCGAGCCGCTCGACGTCTGTGGGCTGACCTTTATCAAGGAACGCTTCAGTCCAAAGAGCAGCAAATCGCTTATGCTCCGCACTCACTCACAAACCAGCGGATGGTCTCTGACTGAACAGGTAGGAGCGGATCACCTCAGTAAACCTACTGACTGAAATCTTGATTTGCAGGATCCATACAACAACATTATCCGAACTACTATCGAAGCTATGGCGTCAGTGTTTGGTGGAACTCAGTCCCTGCACACCAACTCCTTCGACGAGGCCCTCGGTCTGCCCACGAAATTCTCGGCTCGAATCGCCCGAAACACACAAATCATCATCCAAGAAGAGAGCGGTATTTGCAAGGTAAGCGCCAACGTCTGGCC